AAATAAATAAATAAATAAATAAGAAAAAAAGTTCATTAGGCTTAACTCAATATTGATCACTTTTCAACTATTTAATAATACGACTAAATTACACGATTGGTCACTCAAATTATACAAATCTTTCATATTTGCCACTTGAGATACTTTTCTTTCTTATTCGCCACTGACTTTACAAATTATTTCACCGTTAGCACCGACCGTTAGTCTCCGTTTGATTCCGTTAATTCCGTCAACTTTTTGATGATGTGGCAAACGGAATTACTGACTGGACCGTTAACTTAATACCAAGTCAATTTAAAAAAAATTAAAAAAATAATAACCTTTCCTTCGTATTCTTTCCTTCTCTCTCCTTGCCCCTCCGTCTCTACTTCTCATTGTCACTCTCCATCTGCTCTCGCCCGACGCTGCCGCCGTCCATAAGAAGAAAACAGCAAATTCTCGTTCGATTAAAATCTGGCGGCTGAGCATAAAGCCAACGAGCTGATATGAAATTACTGACACGTCCCGTCTCTTTTCAAAAACCAACCATAACTCAAACCAAAAACCGGTTACTCCGGAGCAATCCAAACCACATTTTAAAATAAACAAACCGACATCATTTAAGAATTTTTAACGAAATGCCCCAACACTTGGGCAAAATTCTCAATCTCAAACACTTAAAACGACTTAACACAAAATCTCCAGTTTGTACTAATAACCATGAAACAGAATAATTAACTAATCTAACTTGAATCCTCACGAGCTTTCCGATATCCCGACGACGCTGGTACTGCTGCTCGCCTCGCCCTGCTTCTTCGCATGATCCACTTCTGCTAGACTATCCTCAACCTGGTGAGTGAGAAGGGGTCAGTCTCGTCGTTACTTCCTAAGGTCTTTTCCCTAGGCAAACTCCTTATTAAACACATTATTAGGGGAATGCCTTCCTTAGACGAAAGTCGTTCTCACTTTCATCCCTTAAACTTTACTATCAAACAGTCTATAAGAGATCTCTACTCCTATCTTATCTTTAGAATTTTTCTTACTTATACGCTTAATCCAAAGACACCAACACAAGGGACCACCGCGTTACGTCTCGCTGTCCGGTGTCCCTACCCTAGTATGCCAACCGCATTACGTCTCGCCGTCCGGTTGCATACCCAAACTCGGCAATGGCACTGTGTTACATCTCGTCGTCCAGTCCATGCCCGTCAACTACTGCGTTACGTCTCGCCGTCCAGTAGTGACCCAACATACTCGATCAACTGGTGCATTACGTCTCGCCGTCCAGCAGTGACCCGACCATTTACCGCGTCCAGTAGTGGCCCAACCTCCCGAGGGTTCCTCTTACCATTAACCAGCTATTACAATCATATATCCATACATTCATACATAGCACAACGCGTGCCTCCACCCTTACAGGCGGTGGGATGCCTCACACACATATCGCGCATACTAGAAAAATTAACTAAATAATAACTTGAACGAAAAACAGAAACTAAAAGACCTACGATAGATATTTTACCCCCTTTACACTCACCTCGAAAAGAAGACTCCTCGATTCCTTCCTCGAAGAAACCCCTCCTTAGCCGGATTATCTTGGGGAGACCTATTAATAAGAACCCATTTTCTTAGACGTCATTTCTTGATTTAAAATCCCTTTTGAATCACTATAACATCCTCTCCTCAAACTCCAGTCCTTGAACTTCATTCCAATGGTCCTTTAACCCCCATTAAAATTTTCTAGAATTAATCCCTTCAAAACCGACTATTTTTCTTAATTATTTTTATCTTGGAAGAATTTTTTACCTAACTTGAACCTTCTTATAATTTTGGACAATAATTTTTCCATTTCAATCATGAGCACCTATACCCTGGAAAATTATCAAACCCTTAAAAACCCATCGGAAAGATTTTTATTTCATTAAAACGAATGCTCGAACAATTTCTAAAATTAAAAATACATTTCGAAAATCCCCAAATGAAATTAAAGCCATCTCCTAGACCTTCCTCAATTTATAAAGTTAAAAAACTCATGAACAAACCCCATAAAGACTCGAAACAATTAAAACATCCAAAAATACGTTTCTGGAAATATCCAGCAGCTTTAGTGACCACCCAAAATCTGTCACTAAAAGTCTGTAACGCCTGTTGCTAAAAATCCAGAATTGCACCCTCACGAAAAATCCCCAAATTAATCGATCTAGCTCAAAGCGATCGAGTTCCCTTACCTCTAGAACGTGCCTAGGACTAGGTTGGATGACCCGGGACGTTGATCTTCTCGTTGATCGAACCCTCAACGTCACCGCTAAAAAAAACGAGCTTCGGATTAGACTATTAATGAATCGAGTTTAGAAACCGTGATGGGGTTCGTGATCCTTACCTAGAAACACGAAAGGGATGGGGTGGGAAATCGGGACCGGGATCGGGAACCGGCGCTCCCTTTCTTCTTTTTTTCTCCTCGCCGCGCTGGGGAATCGTTCTGGGGAAAACGGCCGGGGTTGCTCGCGACTACTGGGAAAAAGAAATTGGGGTGGGGGGTTTTTTGGGATGGGGTGGGGGTCTGGGGAATAATTATTTGGGGGTGGAGGCGCCCAGCCTCCTTGGGCCGGCGCACTTTTTGTTTTTTTTAAATTATAGTAGTAGTAATAATAATAATAATAGTTATTATTAGTCCTAATCTGCGGTTGTAACTCTTAGTACGTAACCGTCAATCCAACCGATCACGTATTAAGGTCGGACCTAAATCTAAAATACCGGGGTGTTACATTTCCTCCACCCTTACAAAAAAAATTGTCCCCGAAATTTTCTCGGAACTCATCCTTCTATCAACACCCATCTTATACTTCCTTCCCACGATCATCTATTCTTACTATAACAACTTCGTTGGTACCTTTTGCTCAAATAAGTTTCCTTAGCTTGCAGCACTCGTGAAACAACCCGATCTTTTTGGACAAATCAAACCAAAACTTTAAAACAAAAACCGGTTACTCCGGAGCAACCCAAACCATATTTTTAAGTCAAACCAAAAATCAACCAACGACAATAACCCAAAAAAAAATTCTCAAACGAAAGGCCCTAAACAGTTGGGCAAATCTCAATCCGAACACTCGAACAGAAAACCTGAGTTTCCCAGTATACTCATAGAACAGGAAATAAAGACAAATATGATAAAAGGGTCCCATCTCAATACCCTGATCCTTCCGACATCTTCAAGCTTGACGCGGCTGCCCTCCTTGATTAATCTCCTGGTGCTGGTTATGTTCTCTTCCCCTTTCCACACCTGGTGAGTGAGAAGGGGTCAGTCTCGTCGTTATTTGCTAAGGTCTTTGCCTAAGCAAGCCCTACTAACACATTATTAGAAATTACTTCCTCCTACATGAAAGCCGTTCTCGCTTTCATCCTTAATATTTTAGTCTCTGATAGCTTATAGAAGTTCTGTACTTCTATCTTAACTTATACTTATTATTAGGGTTCACCGCGTTACGTATCGCCGTCCGGTGTCCCTAACCTTAAGGCAATGGTACTGCGTTACGTATCGCCGTCCAGTCCATGCCCGGTCAACTACTATGTTACGTATCGCCGTCCAGTAGTGACCCGACCATCTACCGCGTCCAGTAGTGGCCCAACCGCCCGGGGGTTCAATTATCATCAACCATACACATAAACACACATATACATAGCACAACGCGTGCCTCCACCTTAAGTAGGCGGTGGGATGCCTCACACACACAATCGCGCTTACTTGAAAATTAAATAACATAACTGAATTAAAAAGGCATAAACTGAAAGACCTCGACGGAGATTTTACCCCCTTTACACTCACCTCTCAAGTGCCGATACTTTACTTCCTTTGACGTGGGGTCCCTTAATTTGATCGCCTCCTTGATCCTGAACTATCCGATTTACGTCTCAAGCTTTAGAGGCTCGTATCTTCCTCGTCCGACGTAGAAACTCGATTTCGTCGAAACCGGGGTGCTACTGAGATTTCCCCCTTCACGATGATACCAAGGTTTCGATGCTTGGTGGAGATTGACTACGCCGGGACCGCCGTCGAAGCGCTACCGTTCCATATGAAGAACGCTTTTGGTCGATGTCGACGTTGACGTTGGGCTTCCGGGACGGGGTACTGGTTGGCGCTGCTACTGCTCGTTTGCTCTCGCAAGAAGGCTTGGTTGCACGAAGCTTCTCTTGCGGTGGAATGGTGATGACAACGTCGGAGGATTTTATTCCTTCTTTCTTTCTATCTTCCTCTCCTTCGGTTCTCTTTGCCTACTGCAGTTTACGGTGGAGGAAGGGTTTAATGTAGTAACGGCTTGCTATGGGGGGGGAATACATGCAGGTGGGGGGTTTAAAGTAGGCGGTGGTGATAATAATGATTATAGTTTGCCATGGGAGAGAAAACGTGCTGTGAGTGATGAGTGATAATTAATTTTTTTTTATGATAATAATAATAATAGTTATTATTACTATTATCTCTAATCTAAGGTCGAACCCTTCGTACGTAATCGTCAATCAAAATGTTCGGTTGAACCTAGACTTCAAATGTCGGGATGTTACAACTCGTGTAACCATAAGTGTCTCACTGCCCTTTTTACTTCCCAACTTGATCCAAACATGGTGAAACAAACTGTCAATTCGGCTAGTCAAGTTGTTCCAATTCTCCTGGTAGTTGATGTTGAACCTAAATCCAAAATCGGGACATCACATTTCCCCCCTCCTTAAGAAAAATTTCGACCTCGAAATTTGTTCGTTGTGACGACTCCAAGTTTCACTTGTGATAATTAGGGGTGGGCATTGGCGCGATTTGGACGGCACCGCACCATTTTGATATAAATCACATCGCACCGCATTCAATTTGACCGCACCGCATGTTCGACCGCAATATTATCGGTGAGGTCAAACCAAATCGCATATGTTAGCGGTTTGGAGGGATTTGGACCGCATCGCATGTTTGACCGCAATTCATTATGAATTATATATTGATTAAATAAATTTACCACTGCCATTGCTAATAGAGAGCATCAACACTCTGTTTCTCTTGCCACCGAAACAGAGCACCCCTTCTGCTGCTGACTACTACTGGCAGAAGGAATGAAATTGTAACTTGGCAAATGGAAATGAAAACCAATAGAAGGCCTTGTCCACGTGTCCCCGCTGAGGGTGGAGGTCGCGGAGAAGAGGACCCCTTGTTCCTCGGCGAAGTCGATGGCATCCTCCGTCACGACGGCACGGTGGTCGACGGCCAGATCGGTCTCGTTGCCGATCAGCATAATGACGATGGAGCTGTCGGTGTGTGCTCGGAGCTCCTCCACCCATATCGCTACGTGATCGAATGTCGACCGCTTTGTGATGTCGTACACGAGCATCGCTCCAAGTGCTCCCCTGTTGTATGCACTTGTCACAACCCGGTACCTCCAGCCAAAAACGTCAACAATTCATTAACTTTTGGATCTCTTCGTACCCAAAAAAAGTAATCCGAAAATCTATGGAAGCTAGTTTATAAAGTCTCGCAAATCCAATCTCTATAACATCCAGTGAAGAATCTAGCATTAACTGAGAGAGGATGGGGGAGAACGGGTAGCGAGATGATGGAGGAGATAGTAGAAGGCGACCTTCCTATTCCGAGTGAGAATTTACTTTAGCGGTTTGCGGTTTGGAACCGCAACCGCGTGGTTTCGGATTAATCCAACCGCGAACTGTGAGCCGCTAAAATTTTAGACTGCGTATTAGACCACATAACTAACGGTGCGGTTTGAAGCGGTTTGACCGCACCAATGCCCACCCCTAGTGATAATCTCTTTGCAAGGAGTTGTACCTCCTTCTAGCCTTGATGTATTGATCCCATGACATCTTGTTAGGCTCCCTATGATATACTTAGTTCTTCCTTTGTTTGCTTAGGTGGCCTTAGTATTTTTCAAAGTCTAACTTTCAGCTGCTCCTTGGGGTTGTAGCCCTATGTTCAATTCTCCTGAACTCCACGACCCTTCCTTGCACCCTTTCCTCTCGATTATGGCGACATTTTCCATAACTCCTTGGCTCTACCAGTCGATGTACTAACTGCTTGGCTCCTTCCAGAACCTTATTCTGATCAGCTCACATCCCCATAGAATATAAGCTACCTTGACCCTCCTCTTCTCACTCATGAAGGGGTTTCACTAAACGATTCCTCTAGGAACCTGCTCCTTCTCCTTCCCAAGACGTATCATAACCCCATAGGGCATCCTAAAGTTATTTCCTTATCATGATTAGAGTATACTGGAGATTCTAAAAATTTCCGAAAGACTCTTACTCGTTTGGCCAAACTTTTACTGACACTCCCTGTTTCCTTTCCTTTCAAAAAAAAACTGAAACCATAAAACGCAGATCGTCACTCCAGTATTCCTTGGAGGCCAAGGAACAGAGAAGTGTCGGCTCTGATACCAAAATGACACGTCCCGTCTCTTTTCAAAAACCAACCATAACTCAAACCAAAAACCGGTTACTCCGGAGCAACCCAAACCACATTTTAAAATAAACAAACTGCCATCATTTAAGAATTTTTAACGAAAAGCCCCAACACCTGGGCAAAATTCTCAATCTCAAACACTTAAAACGACTTAACACAGAAGCTCCAGTTTGTACTAATAACCATGAAACAGAATAATTAACTAATCTAACTTGACTCCTCACGAGCTTTCCGATATCCCGACGACGCTGGTACTGCTGCTTGCCTCGCCCTGCTTCTTCTCATGATCCACTACAGCTAGACTATCCTCAACCTAGTGAGTGAGAAGGGGTCACTGTCGTCGTTACTTCCTAAGGTCTTTGCCCTAGGCAAACTCCTTATTAAACACATTATTAGGGGAATGCCTTCCTTAGACGAAAGTCGTTCTCACTTTCATCCCTTAAACTTTACTATCAAACAGTCTATAAGAGATCTCTACTCCTATCTTATCTTTCGAATTTTTTTTACTTATACTCTTAATCCAAAGACACCAATACATGGGACCACCGCGTTACGTCTCGTTGTCCGGTGTCCCTACCCTAGTATGCCAATCGCGTTATGTCTCGCCGTCCGGTTGCATACCCAAACTCGACAATGGCATTGCGTTACGTCTCGTCGTCCAGTCCATGCCCGTCAACTACTGCGTTACGTCTCGCAGTCCAGTAGTGACCCAACATACTCGATCAACTACTGCGTTACGTCTCGCCGTCCAGCAGTGACCCGACCATCTACCGCGTCCAGTAGTGGCCCAACCGCCCGGGGGTTCCTCTTACCATTAACCAACTATTACAATCATGCATTCATACATAGCCAAACGCGTGCCTCCACCCTTATAGGCGGTGGGATGCCTCACACACATATCGCGCATACTCGAAAAATTACTAAATAATAACTTGAACGAAAAGCAGAAACTAAAAGACCTACGACGGAGATTTTACCCACTTTACACTCACCTTGAAAAGAAGACTCCTTGATTCCTTACTCGAAGAAACCACTCCTTAGCCGGATTATCTTGGGGAGACCTATTAATAAGAATTCATTTTCTTAGACGATCTTTCTTGATTTAAAACCCCTTTTGAATCACTATAACATCCTCTCCTCAAACTCCAGTCCTTGAACCTCATTCCAAGGGTCCTTTAACCCCCCATTAAAATTTTATAGAATTAATCCCTTCAAAACCGACTATTTTTCTTAATTATTTTTATCTTGGACAAATTTTTCACCTAACTTGAACCTTCTTATAATTTTGGACAATACTTTTCCCATGTCAATCATGAGCACCTATACACTGTAAAATTATTAAACCCTTAAAAACCATCGGAAAGATTTTTATTTAATTAAAACAAATTATCAAACAATTTCTAAAATTAAAATTGCATCTTCGAAAATTCCCAAATTAAATTACAGTCATCTCTTAGACCTCCCTCAATTTATAAAATTTTAAAACTCAGGAACAAACCCCCATAAAGACTCAAAAAAATTAAAACATCCAAAAATACGTTTCTGGAAATATCCAGCATCTTTAGTGACCACCCAAAATCTGTCACTAAAAGTCTGTAACGCCTGTTGCTTAAAATCAAGAATTGCACCCTCACGAAAAATCCCCAAATTAATCGACCTAACTCAAAGGGATCGAGTTCTATTACCTCTATAACGTGCCTAGGACTAGGTTGGAGTACCCGGGACGTTGATCTCCTCGTTGATCGAACCCTCAACGTCACTGCTAAAAAAATGAGCTTTGGATTAGACTATTAATGAATCGAGTTTAGAAACCGCGATGGAGTTCGTGATCCTTACCTAGAAACACGAAAGGGATGGGGTGGGAAATCGGGACCGGGATCGGGAACCGGCGCTCCCTTTCTTCTGTTTCCCCTCGCCGCGCTGGGGAATTGCTCTGGGGAAAACAGTCGGGGTTGCTCGCAGCTGTTGGGAAAAAGAAATTGGGGCAGGGGGTTTTTTGGGGATGGGGTGGGGGTTTGGGGAATAATTATTTGGGGGAGTGGAGGCGTCCAGCCTCCTTGGGTCGGCCCACTTTTTGTTTTTTTTTATAATTATAGTAATAATAATAATAATAGTTATTATTATTAGTCCTAATCCGCGGTTGTAACTCTTAGTACGTAACTGTCAATCCAACCGATCATGTATTAAGGTCGGACCTAAATCTAAAATACCGGGGTGTTACAATTACCTCGGCCCCGTACTAAAATTACAAGCAGGGGATGGATGGAGGGAAGTCAATGCAAAATACAAAGACTAAATGACGATTGACGACTAGTCGTCGTTAGGAAAAACGAACCAAGACTAGCTTTTCACACTGACATATCTCCCTCAACTACTCAGCACATTAATTCAAAGCAGAGTTCCTTTCATCAATCTTTTTTCAAAAAATGGATTCCACGCTACTGCTCGCCTTATCCTCCTTTATCCCAATCATCATCGCCTCTATTTTCGGGGACGAAACTATTGACTACTTCACAGTTTGCTCGCAGCCTTTCGATTGCGGGAACAAAACCAACCTTTCGTATCCTTTCTAGGCAACTAATCATCGACGCTGCCGTCGTACATAAGAAGAAAACCGCAAATTCTCGTCCGATTAATCTCTAGCGGCGGGGGAGAGCAGATGGAGAGAGAGACTGAGAAGTAGAGGCGGAGGGGTTAGGAGAGAGAAGGGAAGAAGAGGAAGGGATTTTTAATTTTTTTTTAAATTGACATGCCATTAAGTTAATTGTACAATCAGCAATTCCGTTTGCCACATCATTAAAAAGTTGACGGAGTTAACGAAATTTAACGGAGACTAACTGCTGGTGCTAACGGTGAAATGATTCATAAAGTTAGTGGTGAATAAGAAAGAAAAGTAATTCGAGTGGCAAACCTGAAAGATTTGTATAATTTAAGTGACCAATAGTGTAATTTAGTCTTAATAATACATAAACACTTGCTCAATTACCATCGCAAACTCAAACCAACAATAAAATACCCAAAAATAAAGAACTTGGGTAGTTTATATAGATGAGATTTTTTGAGATTGTTAACTAGAGAATAAGAGATGGCATATGATCAGGTGATATTAATCATAGGTATTGAAACTTCAATCAATTCTAATTTGGACGACTCACACATAAAAAGGGTTCGGGATGACTATAAATAAGATTTTATGTATTAATTTGGCCGAATATAAAGTTTAAGTATATTAGAGGGACTCATCTGTAACTGTTATTTTTATTTGTTGCCTTTGTGAACTTTTGCCTTATACCCGCAGCTTACGTCGAAGGGTATAAGTATTTTGCTTTCTCGGCTGCCCTAGCTCTAATAAGAGTCTTGCGCAGTTTGTACCTTGCCAAGAACACAGCCAGTGAAAACCCTAAACTGAGAGCTCTGCTCTCCGTGGATTAGTCTCGTTCATGTTGAACGAGGATACCACGTAAACATCGTGTCTCCTTTATTTTCCGCATTCATCAAACTTATTATGGTATCAGAGCAGTAATCGCGATCCCGTTTGTTCTACCTCCTTCACTATGGCCAAGGACGAAGAGACGACCGGCTCGGGCAAAGACGCAGCCCCTCCTATGGAAGACGTCATCCCGATGACTTCCCCTCTCTATCTCCATGCCTCGGAAGACCCCGCTCGATTATTTGGCAGCGACTTGCTCAATGATTCGAACTATGGGGAATGGGTGAACGACATCACGGAGACCTTGATTGCTAAGAACAAATTAGCCTTTGTTGACGGTTCACTCCCACGAGCTCAAGCCGGCTCTGCTGTTCGCCGTGCCGCGTGGGATCGTTGCGATGCCACTGTCAAGGGCTGGTTAAAGACCGCCATGACAAAAGAAGTTCGGAACAGCGTCCGCACGGCTACCACGGCGCAGGCTATATGGTCCG